CTTTTGAGGGTCTAGAAATGTCCTAGAACATGAATCATCTACATACTAGATTAGAGTGGAAACTCTAGGAAATTTAGATCAGCTTTTAATATCTGGGAGAAATAGGTGGGACTTTCTGTATATCCCTGGGGCATTACAGTCCTAATAAACTGTTGATCTTCCCAGGTGAGGTGCCAGCCTAAGACATGACTTCCCACCATAAACTGATTTTTAATGAAAAAATGTTAACTTCAGACCATTCTTTGTGGTTACTTTAGGTCTCTGAGTTTGCAAGGCTGCCATGCAGGCCCCTCCTTGAGCTCGTCAGGTTGGCATGTGGTCCCTTTTGATTCACACTCTCAATATTTGTAATTCAATAGAATCAGTATCTAGATGGTTATTATTATTATTATTATTATTAGTTAATCCTCAACTGAGGATATTTTTCCATTGATTTTTAGAGAGAATGGAAGGGAAGGGAAGAGACAGAGAGAGGGAAACATTGATGTGAAAGAGACACATTGAATGGTTGCCTCCTGCATGTGTGCCAACCAAGCCAGGCATCAAGCCAGCAACTGAGGTATGTGTCCATGACCAGAATCAACCCCGAGACCCCTCAGTAACAGGGCTGATGCTCTATCTGCTGAGCCAAACTGGCTAGGGATAGATGGTTTTTTAATGTATTCTTTGAAAATTGTTTCATGTAAAATAAATGTTAATGAATTACAAAAAATTTTCCTTTTTTTAAAGGAGTAATTCCATTCTATGTTTATACATCTTGTTATTCCATTCATCAATCAATGGACACTTGGGTTGCTTTCATCTCTTGGCTATTGTGAATAATGCTACTGCAAACATGGGTGTACAAATCTCTCTTCAAGTCCCTGCTTTCAATTCTTTAGAGTATATATCCAGAAGCGGAATTGCTGGATCGTAGGGTAATTCTATGTTTAGTTTTTGAAGGAACTGCCATGCTTTTTTGTTGGATAGTCTCAAGCTAATGGCTAGAAAGGCCTGGGGCACTCACCTGGCCCCATCCTACCTGCACTGAGCCCCCCAGACTGTTCCCTAATCAGAGCCAATGTGGTGACAAAACCGCCCTTGTGGTTCTTATTGTGATTGCAAGATGCACCTCAGTAGCAATCATCAGGGCACCTTGAAGGCACAGGTTTATTACTGACAAGTCCTGGAGGCCACACAGCAAGGTTGAGAGAGAGAGAGAGAGAGAGAAATCAGGGACTAAGGTTCTGCCTTTATTGGGGTCCAAGGCAGGCTGGTTAGGTGGGAATTAGGGTGCAGGAAGGTAAAAGCGGGGTCATTCATAAGGTCAGTTATCTAGGGTACCCAAAGCTTTCTACAAGGGGAACTTAATGGGTGGGGGGAGTCTGGGTGCTTGTCGAACTGTTTAGCTAGAAGCTGTGACATGGCTGGCAATACGTTTACAGGACATGGATTATCTTTGAAAACCAGAAAAGCTAACACCAGGCACTTACACTGCATTGTGCATAGCAGCCCCTCCCCATTTCACACGCCCCCTAACAGTGCACGAGCACTGCTGCTATGCGTCCTCTCCAACACTTGTCATTTTCTGCTCTTTTTATAGTGGCCACCTAATGCGTGTGAAGTGGCAGACTCACATTCCGAAGAGCTCTCCAGGTCTACAGAGCAGAGAACACAGACAGCCTTGATCAATGTCTGGATTTTGGATACAGAGCTCTGAGAAGGAACTTTGCCTGGGGC